AAAAAGGGGGGGGGGGGGGGGGCAAAAAGGGAAAGGGCAACCCGGGGGGGAAAAAAACAAAGGGGCGGGGGTTTTTACCCCCCCCCTTTTGGAAAAAGGGCCTCCCCCCCCCGTTTTTTCCCAAAAAGGGCCCCCCCCCCCCCCCCCCCCCCCCCGACTCGTCAAGCACAACAAAGACAGAGCCATTATCTACTGCAGTACAGCAGCATGCACCACCGCTCAAGGACCCACGACTTAAATGACTTTTTAGCCCCCGATGTTCGTTTCTTACTTATAACCCCTGTGGGTCATCCCAACACAACCATACCACGGTATAGGTCAAAACCATACCATGGTATAGGTCAAAACTATACCATGGTACAGGTTAAGTGTAGGATTGCCAACTGACCTCCTCTCAGGGTGAAACTTTAAACTTTAAAAAACCTCATCGAAGTATATAATAGAAATTTTCTATCCTCAATGTCTTAATTTTCTATCCTCAATTCTTAATTCCCAGGTTGTTCTGGAAGTGATACTGCAGCGCAGTCTTACGCACCTCCTTCCTCAACACAGTAGTCGCACGCTCTTTCATCGTCGCAAAACGGGAATGGTCTAGACTTAAACAAAGACAAGCACGCCAGTCCACCCCCGCCTTACTTGTAAACGAGGTAGAGGACGTTGTCCAGATGCCGCTCCTCCTCCCACTCGCCCCCCGCCGCCGCCGCCTCGCCATCATCACCCCCCCCCTTCCCCCCCCCAACCGCACGCGACGGAACCCCGTGAGAAGGGGCACCAACGGCCACGGCTCTCGTGGCACCTGTCTGAGGAAGCGCCTTCTTGCTGTTGGCGATCATGGGTTTCGGTGAGGCGGAAGGCGGTGCCGTACGGAGGAGCTCGTCGGCCATCTTGCCGGCGGTGGGGCAGTCGTAGGCCAGGGTGGTCGGGATGCTTCTTCGTCCAAGCTGACGTGGAAAACGTGTTGGTGATTATTTTTCAAAGGATTGTGGTCCGGGTTCGTGTGTACGTCGGCAGCAGCGGCGGACGGAGGAGATCGAACGCGCGCACATACACAGACGGTGCAGAAAAAGGGGAAAGGGGGGGGGGGATCGACGTTACCATCGATACGAGAGAGAATATGGTAGAGTGAGTGAGTGATCCTTTGTTGATTGAGTAGGTGACAAGGAGTGGGATGAGGTTAAACCGAGCGAACAGGGAGCCATGCCTGCAATGTCCGTGGAACTATGCAATGAGACGGAAAGGCAAGACGAGGGCACGTGGAAATTCCTGCGTGTGGTTGACCGATGTAAACACACCCCAACGGCAAAATAACAATCCCTGCACGCACCGCATTTTTTTCACAACCAGGAAACGCAGAAAAGAAAACGCAGAAATGGTCGAGGTACCACGGTGAACAACAAGCGAGACAGAGGGATGGCATGAAGCGGGAAACACAATAAAAAATTGCTTATAAAGGATAGCGGATGGTCAATCAACAGTTGAACCCAAAACTTGAACAACAGTCAGGTGAACAAAAAATCAAGCGAAAAATGAACGGTGGATAACGTGTACTATTCCGCGATCTCAAATTTCTCTGGTTCATGTCCCCCTCGCACAAAAGGCCAACATTGACCTCCCTCTCTCTCTCTCTCTCTCTCTCTCTCTCTCTGACGCACCTGCATGCAGATAATGCGGCGGAACTCTACGGCCTGCAGGCTGTCCATGCCAACCTGTTCCTTCAGGCTGTCGGACTCTCCTAGCTCTCCGTCCCACCCGGTCACCTGCCGTCCATCCGTCACACCCGATTTTTCCGAAAAAAACGAAAAGCGGCGTCGACAATTCAGCAAAGCAACAAAGTTTCGATCAACCAAACGAAGAACCAACGAAAACGACTATCCCAGGTGACATGACGCAGGACATCACCCCCCCCCCTGGATCAATTTTCAAATGAGCGTGGCGGTGCCGAAAAATATCAACGTTGAAATCGTCTCATCGAGAGAGAGCTTTCCGGAAACGCATCGTTTCATAAAGCATAAACATCCTCTTTGCCGTAGAGTAATCGAGCTTTGAAAAAATCGGTCCAGGGCGTGTGAAAATATCTTACCCCGTGTCACCTATGTTAAGCGCCGCTAATCGGAACAAACGACATCTGAACCGAACCGAATAATAAACCACATTTCGCCGCACCTGGCGAGCAGTCTCGAGAAGCACCTCCACGACTTCTTCCCTGCTCAGCGGGGCCCCGCCCCTGCCCCTGCCCCCCCCCCCGTGTGCGTCGGCCCTCAGCAACGGCGCGAGAAACGGCGGAACCCCCGGGAAGACGGACGAGTACCTGTGCAAGAGTGCATCGGCAGGGGGGGGGGGGGGGGGACCCCTAATTTTTTCCTGCCCTAAAAGGTAAAACATTTATCACCCCTCCCCCAGGGGACAAAACATTTTCCCCCCAGGACCCAAAACCCAAGGGCCAAAATTCCCTCCCGGGGGGGGTGTCTGAATTTCTAAAAAAGGTTTCTGGGTTCGCCGGGAAAACAATGTATATGTTTTTTTTTATCTATTAAATAACAAAAGGGGGATGCTAACCCGCTGGCCCAATGAAAAGACTCAAGTCTCAGCGCGGCTGGAAACAAAAAATGCTTCTAAAGTTCATGATCTCGGGTTGTGTGTTATTAATTTCAGGATCAAAGTGTGCGTGTGTTTATTTTTCATATCGACCCCGCTAACCCGGCTGACCCAATGTGTGTGTTAATGTATGTGCACTTGTTGCTTCCCCCAATGTTTTTTCTGACAAATCTACCACGAATCGATATCCCTTCCTTTGGAGGCGGAGGAAGCACCGACCCTTCGACCGTGTACGGCAGAGAGGTATCGCCGACATGTGGGCGCCAAAGGCGCTAGAGGGGGGGACGCCAGACACTTTCGAGACCTATCTGACCATGGGACAAGGAAGAGGCGTGTTTGCGACAGCATTTGGGGCCAGGCAGCGCAGCAGTGCCAAACAAATCATGTTTCGTTATTATATCGTACGAAAAAAAACAAATGGTCAAGGCCAACACATCAGGGGGGGGGGAGGGGGGCAGCGTTGTGTCCCGCACGAGACCTCCGGCCACAAAGACAGACGAACCAGACAAAAGAGCACGACGAAAACACTCACGTTTCCCAGTCCATGGGCATCACGGCCGCCACGGGCGAGCACACCGCACCAGGGGACGCTTTCGAAACGTCCCCTATCAAGGCTCCTAGTGCGGAGAAACCCTCATCGTTCGTCACCTTCGGGGGGCACGTGGACATTCAATGGGGGTGGGTCATTCATCTTTCGAGGTGGACGCATGACACGATGCCTGACAAAGATAGTTCTTGCGTGCGAATTTCCCCTCAGCGCTTGGTTGCAATCCATCAGAGTGAGGGCTCCGCTTGTAGGGGAGAGGGGAGACGCGTTTTCTTTCGGCCTCGTTCCTTCCGACATGTGTGAAGAGTGAGAATTTCTCACAAATCTGGAGCACTTTGAAGGACGGGCGGGGTACATACTGCAGGGTACCTGTATCTTGTCCCCACGGCAGAACGCCATCACAACCGTCACAGTACCAACACCCAGCAACAGACAAATAACAATAAAACAACGAAAGAGAACACGAACAGCCATGACAACAGCAGCAGCATGATAGATAGCATTTAGCTCTGCTCCACTCAGAACCACGTCAACAGCAGGAACAAAACGACAAAACAAGCAACAAGCAACAAGCAACAAGCAACGACAACGACAACAAGAGGGTCGTACGCCACAAGTGCGAGCGTCCTCACCCCCAGGTGTCCAAGGGTCTCAAGAGCTTCCACAGCCCCCTTCCTATCTACGGCGGTCCCAGCCTGCACCCAAGGCCCATACTGAACGCTCGAGACCTTCATCCCCTTCATCCCCCCAGATCTCCGCAAGTGCCTGGCATGCGGTTCGGTTCGGGGTTTTGCACAGCATTGGGGGGGGGCGTTGAAGAGGGAGTTCAGCAGACATTATATATCGATTTGTTGCAACATTAACAACGACGACGACGACAACGACAATGGCATGAACATCATCGGCAGCAATGGAATCACCGCCGCCTACATGACGATGATGACGGTACCACCGGCAACAGCATCAGCAGCATCAGCAGCAGCACAAGCAACAACGCAAACACCGCCGTCTACACCAGGCTATGCTATGTAGCAAAAATAGCACGTCGGAGCCCGCCTCTCTCTCCCTCTCTCCCTCTCTCTCTCTCTCTCTCTGTCTGTCTGTCTGTCTGTCTGTCTGTCTGTCTGTCTGTCTCTCTTTGTCTCTGTCTCTCTCTTCCCTCGGTCTCTCTCTGTCTCTCTCGCTTGTCTTTCTGTATCTCTTTCTCGGCCCCTGTGTCTCTCTCTTCCCTTGGTCTGTCTGTCTGTCTGTCTGTCCCTCTCCTTCTCTACTCTTCGGTCGCGTTCTTACCAGGCGAGGCCGTCGAGGCACCCGTTCGCCGCCGCGTACCCTGGCTCCCCCGACAATCCCAGCACCGCGGAAGCCGAAGAAAACAGCACAAGGAAGTCCAGCTCAAGCCCCATGGTTGAAGCAACGCCAGACAGATTCAGTGCCCCCGCCACCTGTTGCGTCGTGGTTTCCATTAGACGTATACATGCATACACAGCCGCGAGCGTTGGTCGGTGATTGAAAAGTACAGGCAGCTTTCCGCTGATGCTACTAATTCATTGCTAATCTATCTTAGACTCTTTTTTTTTATTGATAGAGATGGATTCATTATGTCATGCTAAGAAAATAAAATATAGAAACAAAAAAGTAGGATAGAAAGATAGGGGAAGAGGGGGGGCGGGTTCCGGCCACCACTGCTGTTTGAGTGTCCACACGAAGATTCATGTTCACACGCAAACGGTCATGTTTCCATCGACACATGAACTACTACCGTACATTGCTTCCGTCCCATCAACAGCTACGGCAGACCATCACACGACACGACATCGCACCTTGGCTTCGAGGAACCACCGATCCGCTTCCGACTTCGCCCCCTTGTCTTCTTCGCCCCCTCCCCCGGCCTGGGGAGGACAGGCGGCGTGAACGATGCCTCGCACGGGAGGCAAACCCGCCTCGGCGGAGGCCGCGGTCCCCAGAGCGGTTTGGACGTCTTTGCGGACGGTTACATCGCACCGGAGAACGACCACCTATCGAGTTGAAGTTGAAGTTGAAGTTGAAGTTGAAGTTGATAGGAGTGTCGAAGGCGACGGGTCGTATGATACAACAGCAGCATTCATAAATCCATCGAGACCTTAGTGTATATCCTGGACTTAAAAAAAAAAATAGAACTATATAACTAATTGCTGAAGTAGTTGTTGTCGTAAAATAAGAAACAAGCCAGAGTCACAAGAGTCAAAAACAGGCCATGTACGTACAAGCAAGCGTTGATCACAGGCGGAGATGATAGAGTTTTAGTAATACATACGTATCTTGCTGCTGACGCGATCAGATCTGTCGTGTATGCTCCGGACGTAAGGTTCAACGCAAAGAACGCTGTGAGTGTCTCGAGAAACTAAGAAAGGCGAAAGGCGAGACCGCGGAATGAATGACTGACATCGAGACGCGACGAACGCTTTATGCAACCGCCCATGAATCACGTCACAGCACTTTGGACGACCACGAAACGAGGTCATGTGCCAGGAATTGTTTCTTCGGCCCGAAGCACCGCAGGAGGAAAGGCGGAGAACATAAAATATAGAAAGGGCAAAAAACAGCAAGTCCAGTGTGCGCGCCTCCTGGATGGTGTCCACAATAGATGGCACAGGCACAAATACACACACACACAAGGATGCGTAGGTGCATGCTCTCTGCATGTAAAAGTCGAAGAACTCAGGCTATAAAAGGGTGGAGGGGTTGCGGTGCATGCTCTTGTACGTAAAAGTCGGAGGTCATTCTATGAAAGTCGAAGGCATTAGTATATCTAGGTCAGTAGAGGGGTGAAGCGTGCCTGTCTGTCAGTCTGTCTGGTGACCTCCGTGGTGTGTGTGTATACCTTAGTGGTGTGTATCGCGGACAGAGCGGACCAAGCGCGTCCCCTCGGCGAGTCGGCCTTCAGACCCTCCAGGAAACCCTTGCCTCGCCTGCGTCGCGGAACAGTCGACGAACAAACAAACGAACGTCCAAAACAAGACATGCGTCGACGAAAAAAAAACATGGGTTAGCGGTGACACAGGGGACGGGACGTAAAAGAAATTATCAAAGCAGGGCGGGATATCCGTCGTTTCTGTTCTGGGCACCTGTACACACCTTTTTCGTTGCAGTGTTGCGCACGTTTTAGGAAGGCAAACACATTCCTCGTACGGGGCAGTACAACCTCGAACGGTCATTTTAGTTTCTCCTTCATACCGTGCATACTTTCGAAAAAAAAGGCTTCAAGCCTAACCATACCACATGCTACTACTTCCGAGGAGTCGTGGATACGATGCCAAACGCCAGACCTGCTGAGCAGCACCAGCCCGCCGGCGCCAGCCCTGGCGAACCTCAAGGCGAGATCTAGCCCTATGCCGCCGGTACCCCCGGTGACGACGTACGATCCCCTAGGGGAGAGGTGTCGCGACAGCGGGCACCGGTCGCCTGAGGGGAGCACCTCCACGGTCCTGCCGAGAAAAAAAGAGGTCAAAGCACGTGTTGTTGCGAATGCGTCGTACGTGTGTTTCTGTTTACAGCGCAAGCTTTGTGGTAACCGAGGCCACTCAATAGGTATGAACGCGTCGGCATGAAAACAATGGCCAGGTAGAGCCGAAACAACAACAGCAGCACCAACTCAAGATGGACGTTTGGACCTCAATCAGGACCAGGAGTTCACCCATGCAGCTTGGCTTGTGCTTTTCTTTCTGCTGTTCCAGGAATTTGCTTGTTCTTGTTGTTGTTGTCTTCAAATTAAAACCGTTTCGATCTGTCTACTCAGTGTACCTTCAACTGTTCGTACTAGTCTAACACTTGACGCGGTCGATTCCCGCCGTCACAGGCTAACTTACCCAAAAAAAAGCTACACAAAAACAAAAAAACGGACCCGAAGGGTCCGTAAGTCAATTGGGAAATGTTTTCTTCTGTGGATGCTTCATGTCTTCCGTTTGGACCAGCGCAAAAGTACCGGCCACCCACCCTCCTGCCCCGCAGCATGACAGTCTACTCTCGACTCGGTCTTGTAACGCGAAATAAACCGTGGTGTCAATGTTAATAATCGAGCTGACTGACTCACCGCCCTGCCTCCAAACGTGGGGCGAAAAGCTTCCCTGCTCTCAAGCAAACCTCCGGCTCGCCCAGTCGGCCATCGCCGCCGTCGTCTTGGAGAAGAGTAACAAGGTCCAGAGCCGACTCCGACTCCGACGCAGCGGCCGCGCCGGGCATGTCAACGTGCCTGCAAGAAAGTTGGGAGCCAGGAACGGGAATTGAGGGAACACTGCTGTACCCACACCGTGTTTCTCACCACTGACTGCTGCAAAGACTTGATTCAACACATCCCTTGGAGTGGGGCATAACAGCCCAGGGGGTATCCCCGGCCTCAACTGAACGTCTCTTCCTTCTAGCCAGCGGCGTCACAAGCAATGGCCTTCCCCCGAGAATTTCTAGTAAGGGGCTTCAGAACTATCTCGCAACAGCTGGTCTTTTCGCAATTACAATTATCATTGGTCAGCCGGTTAGCGCAGTCGATGCTAACTAATTAGCTAAACCCACAACCACGCGCCGACACACATGGGGAGCGAAGGGGCTCCGCGTGTCCCCACCCAGCAGGTGGCAAAAGTAAGCCCTGTGTGTCATCCTCACCTCATCTTGAGTTGAGGGTACTGCAGGGCGAGAGACCGCAGGATTCCCGGCAGCCAAGACATGGGCCACCCCTCCGCCTACTCGTCGTCATCGCGGGGGTGACACGCGTCGGGCAGCATGGTTTAGAGCGTTGCGTTTACGGTATACAGTACACGTGTGCATTCCTCATACACACAGGTGCGTGTGGGCAGGGAGGGATGTAGCGAGGTACAGCAGCTTGCTGCGGTGTAGGGAACGTGGGCTTCAACCGTCTCTTCCTGACCACCAGTATTTGCAGCCCCCTTCTCTACGCACTCCGTATGAAACTTACTGCCTCAAGAAAGCGCGCTTGCTCAAGAGACAACGCACGAGGGGAGGGGAGGGGACGGCACGCAACCAGTATTCTTCAAACTCGGGTACAGAAAAACAGAGTGTTTTTTGGGGGGGGCGATTTGCGACGTGATCGAACGTCGGTGGCACCCATGCCGACACGAGACTAGTTGCTCCTGCCGTTCAAGTGCGACAACGCATAAGAGAAGCATTGTCTGGCCGGTGGGTCCACGCGCGGCCGGCCATCGGGGGACGTTGGGCAACAAGCACGACGGGCCGCAAGGCGGGCGTTCTACAGCTGACGCGTTTTCTCAAATGCACTTTACCCTGAATCACCACATACAACACGACACGGTGCTGCCGACAGCGCTCGCCATCCCTCTGTCTGTCTGTCTGTAACTGTCTGATTCTATCTCTCTCTGCCTCTGTCTGTCTGTCTGTCTGTCTGTCTGTCTGTCTGTCTGTCTGTCTGATTCTATCTCTCTCTGCCTCTCCGTCTGTAACTGTCCCTGCCTCTCACCTCATCGCCGTCCAAACAAGGGTGAACCCCGCGGGTGACGACGACTGCCTCAGGGAGGGGACGGCACGAAGACGTCCCCGCTCTCGCCAACGCCTCCGCAAAGGCGAGGAAGGAGGCCATCTCAGCGGCGGCGGAAGTGCCGAAGGCAGCCTCGCCTTCCTTCCCTCCCCCTTCTTCGCCCACGACGTAGACGATGTGGTTGAGCTCCGGTCCGACGCCACCCCGAAGTAGTCTTATTGCGGTGGTGGCCCAGCAAAAGAGACGTTGAGGAGAGAGGGGAAGGGGGGGGGGCGTACTCATTTGTTGCTTGCCGTAGTCATTTGACCATTGACCACGCGTCCCTTTCGAGACGGAGCACCGTTCCTACACCTACTAGAGACACCACCAACATTTGGGAGCTCTTTACGTTTCTGCCACAAACTCCATAAAAATTTCTTGCACATCTTATCCCCGTCCTCTAGGGTCTCTTGTGCCCACCATCTATCCCCAATTATCGCGATCGTTTTTTCGCTGTTGTCTAATTTACCAAACTTGTCCATGTCACACCCTCTCTGTCTCATTTCCTCCTCGAGATCCTCTCTTTCCTTCCTGTACAACTCACACTCCCCAACTATGTGGGGTCTACTCTCCTCCGATTTGCCACATGGGCATGTGTGTCTATCCTCCTCTTCCTCTCTCCTACGGCTGGTATACCTCTTCCTCCGTTCTGGCAAGTCCAGATCGCCTACTCGAAATTGCAATTTCAGCTTTTTCGCATAGTCCATGGGGCCGTCCAAGTACTTCTTCATCCCTATCCCTTCTTTCAACTTCCCGTATATCTCCAAGTGGTCTTCGAGAGGGGAAGGGGGGGGGGGGTACTCATGGTCGTGCATGCCGTACTAGTTGACCATTGACCTCGCATCCCTACAAAGCCGGGACGGAGCACGCCGGGTGCTCACCGGACCAGGCTCTCACATCACCAAGCGCGAAGCGCCGTGAGGTATTCGGCGAGTCGCATGAAGGGTGCGCTGCATCTTGCTAACGGTGTTCGGCATCTTGTGCTTACTTCCTTGCAACGGATGACAGCTGCGAATGACTTGGATTTATTTTCTGCTGCTTCCACTTCCAGAGAAAGTTATTAACACGATGTAACTGCCTCGAGGGTGCGCGGCCATTTTAACACAACGTGGTGCGATCATCCCCTTTGTGCGGAGTGAGCGTTCTCGACCCCACACCCCATACTACATATAAAACGCCGACAAAATACGAAGGAGATAAAAATCAGTTATGCGTTTGTCTTTTCAGGCCGCTACAGTAGCGGTGGCGCGGCAGAGGGACGTCGACCGAGAGGAGAGAAAGGGGGGCGAAGACACCTAAACAACAACGAAGGAGATAAAACCTAGATATAAATACATTCGTCTAGTCAGGTCGTCAGCGGTTGAGACTGTTCGGGGAGCCGTTCCAAAGCATGACCAGTTTCTGGTTCGTTATGGAAACCTACCCTGGGTCCGGCGAAAACCCGTTATATCGTTCCGTGCCAACATTGCAGGGATGCGACGTCTAACGACTGCGGCATGAGTACCCCCCCCCCCCCGCGCCCCGTGCTTCGCGCTTGGTGATGTGAGAGCCTGGTCCGGTGAGAACCCGGCGTGCTCCGTCCCGGCTTTGTAGGGATGCGAGGTCAATGGTCAAACGACTACGGCATGCACGACTATGAGTATGAGTACACCCCCCCCCCGCGCCCCGTGATCGCTCTTAAAGAAAACCGTACCTTGTGAGGCGGGCGAGGGCGGCGGTCTCTCCTCCCGCCGCGGTCGGCCCGACTGTCAACAGATGAGCAAGGCAACCCCCCTTGCCCCCGTCGTCGCTCGAGACAGCGTCGGAGAGAGAAGCGTAGCTCGCGTCCGTCTCGCCCGGCCAGGAGCCAGACCACTTCCTCCGTCAACGGCGGCTCCCCGTCAACGACGTCGTCGTCGCCGCCGGCTTCTGTCGCCGCCGTCGCCGTTGAATCGCTCCGCTTCCTCCCACCCTCAACACTCCCGTCCGCGCCTGACGACGAGAGCTCTCCGACGCGGACCCACTTCGTCTCCAGCAGCCGGAGGGGCGGCCGCCGCCCTCGATCGCCGCCGCCGTTGCGTCGCGACGCACCAGCGGCCACCGCCTTCGCTCCGGCCGGAAGCGAGGCCGCCGAACCTCCGTTCTTCCAAGGGTACGACCTGCGGCGGTAGTGGACGCCCCTGACCGCGCCCACCACGTGGCCCAGCCCGCGCTTGCCCGCCGCCCTTTCGTCCGGGGACATGGCGGCCATCCACCGCGGGGAGTCCGCCACCGCCGTCCTATCTCTCGCATCGCCGCCGCCGCAGCTCGCCCCCGGCGCTGCCCGCGGCGCTGCCCGCGGCGCTGCCCGCAGCGCCCTCCGGCCCATGCGGCAGAGCAGCGCGGACGGCCCCACCTCAACGAACGTGGTTATCCTCTCCGACAGTGGCGACCCCGCCGCCTGCTGCTGCTGCTGCTGCTGCTGCTGCTGCCCGGCGGAAGACGTCGTCAGCGTGGTAAGGCCGTCGTGGAACCTCACGGTGCCGAGGACGTGGCGCCCCCAGTAGGCCGGGTCCGTCAGCTCGCCCTCCCGGGCGAGGCGGCCGGTGACGTTGCTCGCAAGGGGCACGTCCGGGTCGCGCAGCGAGACGCGGCGAGCGGCCGCCTCCGTGCCCGCCGCCGCCGCCGCCATCGCCGGGGAGTGGAACGCGCGGGAGACCCCCTGGAGTATCCGGAAGCGGTCGGCGGGTAGGTCGGGGAGGGAGGCGGAAGCCGCCGCATTGTCGCCGGTGTTCTGTCCTCCGCAAATGCCAGCAGCAGCAGTAGCAGCAGCAGCACCGTTAGGTATGGCGTGGCCGTTCGCACCAGTCGCGCCGCCGTTGTCGCAAGCACTGTGGCCGTTGGAGGGCGGCGGCGGCGGCGGCGGCAACGACTTGTAGCCGCTGAACTTCCTCGGCGAGGAGGAAGGGGGGGAGGCGCACGCCCCCATCCCCGGTACGCCGCCGCCGGCGCCGCCGCCGCCAGACAACAGCCCGGCATCATCGGACAGCGGGCCGTCGGAGAGCGCTCCGTCAGACATAGCGCCATCGGTGCTCGAGGTCGTGTCGGACCCGGCGTTGTTAGTCCTCTCCCCCTCCTCGGAGTCGATGCTGGGGGACACGGAGCCCGTCGACTCAGACCCGTCGACCGCGGCCTTGCCGCCACCGCCACTGCCGGCGATTGGGACGACGGGCGTTTTCGCGCCGGCCAGCCAGCTCATGTGGCGGGTGCTAAACCCGGAAGGGTTCCTGTTGACTCCCGCTCCCCCGCCACCACCGTTCGCGGCTAGGCCGAGCGCGGACAAGCTACCGCCGCTACTGCTACCGTTGTTCCCCGGATCGGAGTCTCCGACGCCGACGGCGGCGGGCCCGGCCTGCTTCTCGGCGGCGGGCGGCGGCGACGGAGACGATGAAGCCAATGCGGCTGCCGACACCATCTCCACCAGTCTGCGGGGCCCCGACAGCACGACGGAGTCGGCCCCGTTCACGGCCGCCACCGACACGCGGCCGCCGCCTCCGTGGAGCGCCGCCGCCGCCAACGCTGTGCTCTGTGAAGTTCAAGTGTGTGTGTGTGGGAGGGAGGTGAAGAACACGATTCAAGACTGTGGATCGATGTGCATAGGCGATGTAAACAGAAAGCAACCGTAATGGACGTAGAACAACGAGGTTAATCCCGCAGACTGACCGATCTTGTCTAGACCCCCGCGTTGCCCGTTCCGCAGGGGGCAGAAGCGTGGACCGATCCAACAACCGCCCACTACAGCAGGCAAAAAACTGCTGCTTGGCTAAGCTAACCTTGCGGGTGTGTTTCACCGCGCTTTCCAGGCCCAAAAACCTTTCTCGCTCTCTTCCTCACTCTTGTGTCTCTCTCCCTCTTCTCTGTCTTTGTCTTTTGTCTCTCTTTCCCTCTCCCTCTCTCTTTCCCTCTTCCTCCCTCTCTCTCTCCTCTGTATCTATATTTTTCTCTCTTTCTCTCCCTCTCTCTCTCCCTCTCTGTCCCTCCTCTGTCTCTGTCTTTTGTCTCCCCTTCTCTATCAGCCCCTCTCGCGCAAGGGCCGCAGGAATCAGCGGGACCCGGCGAAAAGGACCAGCGGGAAACAGCCATTCCAGCCCGCCAGCCAACCCTCCCCCCCGCCTACACCCGGGGTTAGCGCTAACGGTGGGCCGGCCGCGCGCCCTTCCTTCCTTCCTTGCTTGCTGTGTGTTGTGTGCTGTGTGCTGTGTGCTGTGTGCTGTGTGTTGTGTGCTGTGTGTTGTGTGCTGTGTGTTGTGTGCTGTGTGTTGTGTGCTGTGTGCTCTCACCTCGGGACACCGCACCGCGGCCATGCACTCGGGCCCGTCCTCGTCGGCCGTTTCGCTTTCGCGTGCTCTCCCCGTGGTCGAAGCGTCGTCGTCCATCAGCCGACCTCGCTCAGCGACCAGGCGAACGCCCTGACGGTGAGGTGGGAACAATGCGGTCCGAAGTGCGTTACGGGAAGGCGTGCGGTGCGGAATGCCACGAGACTGGCGTCGTGTCGTTGGTCGATGCTACTTCTTAAGTACCAGCATAATAACAAGAAAAAGATTATGGCCTTTAGAATCGTTTCTGTTTTCCGCGGCACGGAGACGGACGTCTTTCCATTAGTCAGCCGGTTAGCGTGCCTTCGATGCCACATATAACGACAAACACACACACACAAACACGTTCGCTTGTTCGCGTCTTTATCCCGCTACAAGACTGGTTGGTGCCTTTTCATTGATCAGTCGGCTAGCGCGGTCGATCCTCGTAATACCGACAGACACACACAAGCACCGTACCTCCCGAAGAGTCATGACACCGGCCGCGCAGGCCGCCGCGAGCTCCCCCAGGGAGTGACCCATCACAGCCGAGGGCACCACTCCAGCGGCACGAAGGGTTGCCGCCGTCGCGCACTCCACGGCGAACAGCGCGGGCTGGGCGTAGCGAGTGGTCGCCAGAAGTTTCGCTGAAGAAAACGGAGTATATTTTTTGTCAAAGATAGAAAGTATGAGATTAGTTGACGGAGAATGGGGGCGCAGGTCATGGGGAGTTTGTTTACGATGGGCGTTGGATACAAACGCTGGATGGAAGCGGTTGGCACGGGCAAGTGTTGTTCTCACGGAATACACACGGAAGAGGTGATGGAACAGTAACGGCTCACAAACACAGGCACCGAGAGAACAAACCACTCACGGCCAAGACCTAACCCAAACTCCACGATGGTGGTGGGGAAGGGGGGGTTCCGAACTTGAGAAGTCCAAATGACAAAGCGGTGGTGATAAGTTCGTGGGAGCCAAGCTTTGGATGGTTTGACACGCAAACACAAATACAACCCACTGGTGACCAACACTAGCATATACGCGGACGTACGCACAAAAGCCAGCACGAACGAGGCCGAAAGGTCATCGACGAACTTAAGAGGTTCACAACAACAGTTCGACGCAAGAGCAGGCTAAAATAGCCAGACGCACACCAAACGCAGCGGAGCCACGAACACAGCCTTCGGAAAAGCGGCCCACGCCAGCATAACCCCAAAACAAAAACATGCCAAAAAAACACGTCACAAAGCACCGCCGCCGGAATGGCGCCCCCCCAAAGTTAGGCAAAGCCAAAAACCGAAAACATGAAAAAGCACGCCAAAAACAAACAAACAAACAAACAAACCCTGCGTTCTTCTCGTCCCTGCGGAGCACCGACAGGAGCCGCCTAGGCAACGGCAAAAAACGAAAACAAAAATACAAAAAAAACACAAAACATAAAAAACACGCCAAAAAACAAACAAACCTGCGTCCTTCTCGTCCCCGTAGAGCACCGACAATAGCCGCCTCGGCAGCACGCCCGCCAGCTCCTCGTCGCACGCGTCCACTACCGCCCTGAACTCGCCGTAGCTCTCGTACAACTCCCGGCCCATCCCGGGGTACTGCGACCCCTGCCCGGTGAACAGGAACGCCACCCCGGGGACAGGGGACGGCGCACCCCCTTCCCCTCCGCCAAAGGCACCGTCCTTGCCCTCCAGGACAACGTGGGCGTTCGTGCCCCCGAACCCGAACGAGCTCACGGCTCCGAGCAACGGCGGTCGGGGGCCATCTCCGAGAGCAGCTTCTCCCCCTCCTCCCCCCTCCTCCTGCGGGTTACCTTGTTCTTGCTCCTCGTCTCCACCGGCGGAGAAGAAAGAAGTGACTGGCCCGCGGCCGCGGCGGGGGCGGAGGAGGAGGCGTGTTGGTGACCCCGGGGCGGGGAGAACCGCCGGGAGGGAGGACAGGTCGATGCGGGGGTTCACCTCGGACGCGTGGAGGTTGGGCGGCGCCGACCCGTGTGCCAGCACGAGGATGGTCTTGATCAGGCCCGAGATACCTGCGGCTCCCTCGAGATGTCTGTCGGGGGCGCGGTGTCGGGAAAGGCGTGCGGGGGGGTGGGGTGGGGTGGGGGGGGGGCGTTTGTGGCTGGGCAGGCTAAATAGAGCGCCATGGCTCCGCGTGCTTGGCCCGTGAGGCAAGAGCCGCCGGGCGGTGACCTAAGCGCTCTGTATAGTACAGGGGGAGTATCTACTTGACCCGCACGCATAATCTTTAGCAGTGTTTACGATAACTTTACCACCTAATGTTCGTTGACAAGGGCGTGAACTTTACCTTTTCTCCGTTTACAAAATCCACGTATGTGTAGCTTGTCAATGCTAAAGGGTTGGAGTAAGTTTTTTTTTCTTACTACAAGGGGTAGGGTCAGGGTCTTAGGGTTTGGGTGTGACTATTCTTCTTGCTCCTCGCTTGTCTCGGGAAGTGGTTGAATTTGCTGTCTGTTCTCTCTTCGGCATCAACGTAAATCCCCTCCCCACCTCCACCCCTCAAGAACAAGCATTTCTTACCCAATGTTCGACTTGACCGCTCCGATGACGAGAGGGCTTTCCGCGGTCCTGAGGGCCGTTACCGTTACGTCACGAAAAAGGGAGAGGAAGACTTAGGTCCAGCGGGAACATTAAGACATGGAAAGTTGCAAGCGACGCCCCGGTTACATAGTATCTACAAATAAAGGACGGGAAGGTCGGTGTACAGTTGGCCGCGCTCATAGAAACTGCTAGCCGCGAAAGGACTTTTGTGTCTACAAACGGGAAGGGTTCGGAGTGATCCACGCACAAGAGAGACAAACGCAATAAAGGCACGTCCCCATACCGCAACCTGCATCGCAGCGGTCACGGCCTCTCCAGCGGCGATGCGTCGAGTAGGAGAACGGAAGGAATGAATCAGACCAAATACAAAAGAAGGATCTACGAAATCTACGGAGGTTCGTTATATCGCACCGGTCGGACCTCGAGTCTGAATAAAATAGGAGAATCTATGCTACGAAATCTACGGAAATTATACCGCGCCTTTCGGGGACTTAAGAGTCTGAACATAAAAGGAGAATCTACGAAATCTACGGATATGGACACCATGATATCGCACCTTTCGGGGTCTTCGAGGTTGAATAAAAAATAAGAACCTAAATGTACGCAATCTACGGAGATGGTATCGCACCTTTCGGGTCCGTAGACGGCCTTGAGCGCCCCGAACTCTACCGGATCGCCCAGAGCAGTCCCAGTACCATGAGCCTCCACGTAGGAAACCTGCGCAGAGTTATGCGTTTACACGTGCGTTACAGAAATCGCTAGCTGTTGTTGTCATCATGTTAAAACGCAACATCGTCAAAGTGTACTCATGCTTTAGTCTTCAGAGAGAGCGAGGGCGAGGCTGGAGCAACAAAATTTGATTGTTGTCGGAGGTGGCGGTTTTGGTAAAAGCGGGAGCGGGGGTCTTTGTATGTGTATCTACGCCATGCCACAGCTTGTTATTGTTGTCCGCTTTATCTTTCGGTTCACCCCCACCTCAAAAAAATAACGCCAAAATAAACTCTTTGAAAAAGTTGAAAATACAAAAGAGACCAAAACGAGAAGCACAACGAGCTCGACAAACGCCTACATCATGAAGGAACGAACCACCACAAAAAGTACAATACAATATAGAAAACAAAAAAGCTGCAGTATAGTAATAATAGCAAAGTAGAAACTCGCGTCAACGTGACGCACTAAAAAAACAACAAACCAAAACGTAGAAACTCGCGTCAACACGACCCGCAAAAAAAAAGAACGTTACAAAAGAACTGAAAAAACTTGCTCGTGTCAACACCACGGGCAAACAAAAAGAGAAAAAAGCACAGCAGTTCGTTTGGAGAGAAGAATGCCCACCTCTTTAGGTGCGATCCCAGCCTCTCGGAGAGCCGCCGCTATGGTGTTCTTCTGCGACGTGCCGTTGGGGGCGGTGAGGGTCGCGCTTCTTCCGTTGTGCCCCACCGCTGACCCCTGCGTGTGTGTGTGTGTGTGTGTGTGTGTGTGTGTGCATATGTGTGCATATGTGTACATTGACCATGATTGGGGTGGGGGACAAGTCCCTGAAAAGTCTTGAAAAGTGCGGACTTTGTGTGCTTGTACACATCTTGCTGAGGCACTTAGGTCCCGGAGGGTAGGGTATATTTAGTCGTTCGTTGCGTGCGCACAATTCTTCGTAATAGCAACAAACAACAACCACAGCAGCAGCAACCAACAACGCCAACAACCAAAAACCACAGCAGATTGTAGCAACACCACCAACGACGATGAAAACAAACCAGCAACCTCGACAGCAACAACACCACCAGGGTCATGACAACCCCCCCCTCCCCTCGCCCACGCACCTTGATGACAGCGAGCACCCTGTCCCCGTCCTTCGTGGCGTCCTCGAGCCTCTTGAGCACCACGGCGCCGCAGCCTTCCCCTCGGCCGTAACCGTCGGCCCCGGCGGAAAACGCCTTCGAGCGACCGTCCGGCGCCAACATGCCCGTCTGCTCTCGAAATTTCCGTGTGGCGTACGGTAATGTCCGTGTTGGATACGGTAATATAATTTTCGTGTTGGATACCGGAGATATCCATGCTGGATACGAATTCCATTTGGATACGTAAAATTCCATGTCGGACGCGGTACGGTACCGGTGCCGGGTCGGTCGGGTTCACGCCGAAATTGCGGCTACACTAAGGGGAAGCGCTTAAAACAGACTCAAACATTCAGAGCGTCCAGCCCAAGCCATATCCTCATCACTCACTCACTGCTGTAAAATACTTCCAACACATCCGTTGTATATTCTGTGGTGAGGTAAGAGCAGGCCGTTTCCCTCCTGCTGCCAACGAACCGTCACAATTGACACGTTGTATATATTGTATACAGTATGCCAGAGAGAGTGAGGTAGAAACAGCTACAATTGCATCTAGATAGCACACACCTTCGAGAAGAGATCGAACGGACCCGGCGACAGCAGCAGGTTGACCCCACCCACCAGCGCCACTCGCGGGCCCCCCTCCTCCCTGAGGTGCAGGCACGCCTGCCGCAGGGCCACCAGCGACGAGGAGCACGCGGTATCCACCGTCATGCTCGGCCCCACCGTCCCCAGCGTGAAGGAGAGGCGGTTGGCGAGCATGGAAGACGCAGCTCCCGTGCTGCGCATGGAAGGGAGGGGAAGGGGGTTGCCGATGAGGTGTGAAAGGTTTTCGAGCGGACTAAAAATTCATGGGCGAGAGTGTAAGGCTCGGGGCGAAGAAATCAAGACTTGGACCGCTTGTCATGCGCGACCCCAAGGTTTTGCTTTCGTCGGTAACGGTTCTTCTCTACATACAGGTGGTGGCGTGTCGACTATTGATATAAGGTTAATCCTCCCACGCTACACACACACACACATCTAGAAAAATCAGGAATTCGGAATCCGGAATCCGGAATCCGGAATCCGCCAAAGCATTATCATTGGCAAAACCAACTCCCGGTGTTAACGAATCTCCGTAGACAGCACCATTGACGAAGCGAACTTACAGCCAAAGGCAACACCCCACCTACACCAACAAATCACGGCTAGAAAATAAATAAATTAATGAATAAATAACATTGCACTAATAATCGCACCTGGTGTACGGGCCGCGCGGAGCCGCCGCCCCCCCTTCGGCGAGCAGGGTGGCCCAGTCCGTTCCGCAGGCCCCCACGAAGATGCCCGTATCGCTGCCGCGGAGGGAGTCTCGGGTGAAGCCCGCACGGTGCAGCGCCTCGTAACCGACCTAAACAACCAAAAATAGCACCACGTACGTCATGCAATTGGTACCGTATGCATCTATAAAAGGTAGAAAAGCGCTCCTAACAGAGAATATGCATGGCGCCAACACCGTAGAAATGCTAGCACAATGGTGGTGCGCCATGTTGTACATACGCGTTCCGTGCGAGACCATGAGATGTTTGTTCGAGGGGTTAAAACAAAGACAAGGCCGTCCCAGAGAGACCTGTGTGCTTTCTCATTGCAAGAGTTTGGCTGCACATCATGCATGAAGAGGTGAAGCTGCTACAGGACACAAACTGCAGAACAAAGACCACGTGCCCATTCGAGATGACAACAAGAGGGTGTGCATTTTTTTTTTTTGCTCTTGAAATCAGCGCTCGTATTGGAGTCTCCAATAAACCTATACGGAGAAAAACGATAGCGCCAAGCAATCATGTGGAACACACGCATGTCTGTGTATTTGAAGGGGCCCATGGTGCATGCGGAGTAATTCGATTGAGAAAGGCAAAAAAGGCCGGTGTAGAGAAGCCAGAGGGAAGTCGGAGCGACAGCCATATCCACTAAAGGCGGAGGGAGAAAAAAAAACAAGTCCACACCATCGACCGCTGTGTTTTGTTGAACAAACCAACACACACATACGAGACGTGTTGTTTATCCCGTTAAATAGAAGACTCACGTCTTAGCCGGTTAGGGAAATCGTTGCTAAATTGGAGCAAGAAAATAGACTCAAAACATGCCCAGTGTCCAGCAGTTTTTTCCCCCCACTCCCTGCAAAGACTTCAACCCATCCCCTTTCTTTCGACTGTGGCTATACAGTATCTCGAACGGGCAGTCTCTCTATGATTTTAGGTGTAAGCCTACTTCCTAAATAAAACCACACACACACGGACCACCCTCGCGAGCAACTAAGTTCACAAGGAAACAGAACAGGGAGGGGGTACGCAGAACCTATATCCCTAACCCCAACCCAACATCCCCGATGGAATGCATTGTCCGACATGCTTGTTTAGTACAAAAAAAAACGAAAAGGCTACTGCACGCACCTCGAGCATCATCCGCTGCTGCGGATCCATGCACCGGGCCTCCGCGGGGGGTACCCCGAAGAATGAGTCGTCGAACCCCCAGGCCTCCCCCTCGGGCAGGAAACCCCCGCGGGTCTCGATGTTGCCGGGCTTGCCATTCGCCGGGGCCCCCTCCTGAGTGAACATCCCTTCCCCGGTGGTAGTGCTCCAGCTTTTTGGTTGGAGGGGTTGGTTTTACGGCGGAAAGCGGCGGGGGGGGGGGGGGGGGGGTTAAAACGGTTGGAAACGGAAAGTGAAGGGGGGGGGCTTTCTTCCTGCAAACACCGGGGGGGGGGAACTGAAATCAACAACCCTCACGTTGCACCCAAATGACCCCCAACCCCAAGGGAAAACCCCCACCAACCCCAACCCCACCAAAAAGAAAAAAAAAAAACCCCA